AGATGTTTTCATCTGTTATGTTCATCAAATTGTCGTCTCTTACAAAACAAAGTCGTTATGCTGTGCAATGTACATTGAATAATGATTAATGAACCCCTATTACTAACTGGCTGCACACGACTTGATCCGCCTGGACAACAATCTTTTGTTTCTCTGTACAAGCTTTACACCCGTATTCACAAACATTACTATGAGGTCTCACAGTGCGCGTGGAGGACACACAGGGTGACACACGAACCAATTACAGAGCTCTATTCAACGCTGTGCGTTCGATTTGCTGCTTCACTTAAGCAAGCATCGTTTAATACGGGCGTTAGACCCCCTTTTCATCTCCTTGGGGGGTATATTTTGGAAAATCCTTTCATAGTGGATGCCTATGTCAATCAAATCTGGCGTGCTTTTCAGCGTAATCCGTTCAGTAAAGCTGTGTGTTGATAAAATCAGTCAGTAATGGTTGCCTTTTATAACAGACTAGCGGCCGCCCGCGACTTCGTACACGTGGATCCCGTTTAACCCCCTTAGAGGTTGAATTTTGTAAAATCTCGTCTTAGTGAGCACCTACGTTCTAAAAGGAACCCCCATGTAAAATTTGAGACTCCTAGCACATGTAGTTTCTGAGATTTTGTGATGAGTGAGTCAGTCAATAAGTGACCTTTCGCATTTATAAATATAGATTTCTTAGAGGTGACTTCATAAGCATAAGCCTTCTTAAAACAATCGCACAAACATTTCCTCTCATATTATCAAGTGTGATAACATTGTTTATCAGTGCATCATAGTTCCCAGTACTTGTGTTGAATAATGCATTGATAATAACTTTATTTACCCCCTGGGTTACACATTTACACGAAGATTCGTGTTATATGACGATGATGTGTGTAATGAAGTATTCGCGTAAAAGAAATTTCCTTATTCGTCGGATTCGTCCATACAATCCTACTAATATTATAAATGCGAAAGTTTGTATGGATGTCTGGATGTTTGGTACTCTTTCACGCAAAAACTACTGAACGGATTTTGATGAAACTACAGTATTATTGTTTATAACCCAGAATAACATAAGGCTATAATTTATGACGATCTGTGACAAAGTAAATTTCACGTGGATGGGCAAAAGCTAGTTTTTATATATTTTTTTAGGTATTATTGAACACAGTAAGCTCAACTTATAATACAACAAGGAAATTGTGGGCCATTGCTCCAATAGGCCAGCTTATTATTTATCTTAACATGCTCGTAAGGGCATATCAAGTAGCTGGTCTTCCGCGGAAGCCCTTGTTTTGGCATCGCGCATCCCTTCGGGATTTTATAGTGATTCGTTCGTTTGTTTCAGCCGAAAGACGTCCACTGCTGGACAAAGGCCTCCCCCAAGGATTTCCACTTTTTATAGTGATTATAAAAAATATTGTTTAATTTCCTGTTGAAAAAATTTGTCATTGATACAATATTAGTGAATTAAGTAAATAATCACGATATTTCGTTGAACAATTATTCGTTCCTTGTTGTTATTACAAAAATAACAAAGCAAAATATATTTGACAGCGGTGGGATTCGAACCCACGCCCTTTCGGACTGGTGCCTAAAACCAGCGCCTTAGACCGCTCGGCCACGCTGCCTTGTGGTGGGGATTGCGAAATTACACAGCACTATCCGCGACTTCGCGCTTCAATTGGCATGGATGAGTCAATGGGGCATGCATGATAATGGTGATAAGTTTGTTTGTATGTAATCACGGAGACGATAATTTTGTATGTCTGTTGTGTATGTATCAGACGGATCTGTTACGTAAATATTGGGTTAGATAGAATAATTGGTGAATACGATGAATAGTTGGCTGCATGTTAAACTACTCACTGTAGCACTTATGTATTTGTAGTAGAGGTTATTTTGCAACTAGAATGTATAGGCTAATGTGCTATTAGATCGTTTTAAAAATATTGGTACAGTCCACCACAGTATCAGTTACAGCAAAATCTGACCTAGGTAAATTTTTGTTGCATATTAGCACTAACTGCAACTGCATAAGATTTACAAAACTTAGCTTTATTTGCCGCCGACATGTTTTTTATATCTTTTTAACACGAACTTTGGTTTTGTAGCCCCCAAAAGGATGGACGGATTTCGATTTTTGTTTGGAAGGTGACTGGATGGAGTGCAAAACATCATCAGGTCATTTATTCTGCAAGAGCACGACCCTTTCTAATTTACCAGAGGCAAAATGGAGGAATTAGTTCTTTAGGCGATGCACAATAAAGATGGAACGTTTTTGATTTTACTTATTTTTGTTTAAAAATTATTGTAAAAGGTCCACACAAGTAATAGCTCCCGAAATGATGAGTCGAGTTTTCATTTTTTTTGGAGGTACATATCTTGATCGACCTACTATCTTATTGGAATCCCATGTGTCCGAAACTCAGAATAAAAATATTTTAAAACATCCACCTCAATAATTTCGAGAACATTCTCAAATCTCCCAATTTAAGAGACAGTACATTCCCCGTTCACCTCCAGACTAGTTTAGAGTCTAGACTCAATGTCAGTTCACACCTACGCGCATCGATTGCGACCGACGACCCCTGTGGTTGAAGCCTTAGGGCACTGTCTGCACCCTTAGAGATATAGAGAGATGCCAACTAATGCGCTGAGTTCGAAACTCAGTGTCGCATTAGAAATTCACACACACAAAGAAATCAAAATATGTGCTCATTATCCACTGCGGAATCATTATTCATTACTCAACGTTCGAATAATCTTTAGTACTACGCAAGAAATGTAAACAGTTTACATTATGACGTCGCTGCTGCCATCATTGCTGTCGCGAGCAATGTGTTCTGTTTTTGGGCATATTGCTGCGACACCGGCCCCGCCCCCTTGTCACATCTCCCTTTAGTTTCTGTGATCTGTGGTCTGCACTCTTAGGAGAACTAGACTAAGATGTTGGTTCAATGGAAATGGCTGGAAAAATGTCTAGACTTCAATGTTAGTTCACCTACGCGCATCGATTGCCGACCGACGACCCCGTGTGGTTGAAGCCTTAGGGCACTGTCTGCACCCTTAGGAGAACTGAACAAAGATGTTGCTTCAATGGAAATGGCTTTCACCATTCCGGCACCAGAATAGGACCCCATTCTTCCCGTGGATGTCTTAAGAGGCGACTAAGGTACAAATATGCAAATATGAGGCCACCCCAACCCGTCTGGCCAGCGTGGGGAGTGTAGGCCAAATCCTCCATTTGTCTAGGTTAAATTAGAGAGGGTCGTGCTTCTGCAGTGGAGACTAAATGACCTTATGATGATGATTATACTCGTGCTTNGGAATACGATATTGGCTTCAGTTCCGGAATTGAAATATCGGAAAAAATGTATCCGAAATTCCGGAGTTACGAAATTCCGGAATTCCGGTATTCAAGCCCTAGTGGAGTCCCATTGCGATGGGCATAGGGTTACCATCTGACCGGATAAATCCGGTCTAGACCGGATTTTCAGGCTATAGACCGGATTCGAATACTTTTTAACTGGAGACAAATCTCCAGTTATCATTAAAAAGTTTTTTGAGAGTGATACAAGTGAAATATACTTGTTTTATCTGCATTCATTGATGGCTATATTTCACTCAAGAATCGCATCGAAAAGGAGAAAAACTCAATTGCCGAAGTACTTTGCACATTGAAGGAAACAATAGAGTCACTAAGTCAAAGGATCGAACATAATTTCATTCCTTTAAAAGTACGAGACCTCTTTCATAAAAATAATATTAACGACGACGAACGCAACAGGATAAATACCGAAATGAAAAATTTGTATCAAGAATGTATAAATTACATAAACATATGGATAAAGCCTTTGGACTCATTTAAATGTTTTGAATGGATGACACTACAGCAAAATCAGGAGTTACAATTTGACAATATTACAGAATCCCTTTTATTTTTGAGAAACAAAGGAATCACTATCGATGACGTAAAGTTATTTGAAGAATTTTGTATTTTACAAAATCGATTTTAACCTTTGGTAACCCTAGATGGGCATCGCTGTTGCGACAGGATAGCACTGCTCAGGTCACTTTTTATTTCCTTGTAATATTTGTATGTTATTTCTGTATTTTTTTCTGTATACGTTCTCTGTCCTTAACTAAGTGATGTTCTTCGTAATAAATGTTTATTTCTTTCTTTCTAAAGGTAAACATATATTTACCCTCCCCACGTTTACCTTTTTATAAAAGTGTTTTGTTGCAAAATCCCATAACAGTTATAATTTATAGTGAAAATGGAACATTTAATAGTTTAGAATATTACACTAACAATCCAGTACAGTTACACACAGTTGTTTGATATCAGTTACTTACAATATTCTGTCGTACTCATTTGAATGATTACAGTGAAATATAACAATCTCCGCATTATTATGTTTGCTTAGTTATCGTGACATATGAAAAGGAGACTGCATTTTCCAGGAAATACTTACTAAGAAAATACAAAATGGGAATGTAAGAGCTTCATTAAAACTTTTAAATCAGCTTCCTTGCATTGCATTGCCTTACATATAAAATTGCAAAGCCTGGAACATAGTGTTGCCAACATATCAATCGACAGTTACGTTTTTTTACATATTATTATTTGTAATGAAAATATGATTTTTACTTAAAATAAATAAAGGGACTGACAGCTGAACACTTATTAATCACTTAAAAATCTCAAACCTTTATTATTGGGTTTTTAGGGCTTACCATTCAATATTTCGATGATTAATAAAAAAATGGAAACAAGAACTATAAGTCTACGAGAACTCTTTTTAAATATCTACCACAGGTCGATACCATTAACGTCAAAACCATGGAAGCTTCTTGTATCATAAATAAAAGGAAATTGGGTTTTTTATGAAACCCTACATCCTACATGCGGGAAATAGACTTATATCGTTGCAAAAAATATAAAAAAACATGAACATTGTAAGACATCAAATTATCTTGTTTCCATCCTCAATTTGAGTCTATTAATATATATTATACTCGTGCTTCGTCCTCGAGATTAGTATAACATAGATTATATAACACAATGTAGTTTCGCATAGTCACTCCACTTTTGCACTGTTGTTTAAAGAAAAAAATAAAAAATAAAACATTTTGAGGGTAAGCCTGAAAATGTTTTTCTCTCCTCTACCGCCGATATTTCCTATGGCGGGCTCACTCCACTGGCGTCATTCGCAGTTTAGTGCTCGACCACTTCGCACGAAAACCAAAATGCCGAAACGACGTAGTGAAAGTACCGTCGAATTTTTATCAAAAAAATTGAAGAAATTGGAAAGTGAAATTAAACATTGTCGTCGGCCGCGTCGCCGCCGGCTACCATCCAGTGCATCCTCGTCGACCAGCTCGTCGCGCTCAAGCTCATCGAGTTCATCGCGCTCCCGCAGCGGGCCCCGCGCGCGCTCGACGTCACGGGACTCAAAGCCTTCGGAAAAACATTACGGTTAGTGTTCACTGTTAATTATTACGCGACTTCAGGACGTATGCAATCAGAATAGTCTGCGGGACTACTTCGCTGCATTTTCCCTGTTGTAAAATGTCGCAAAATATATGCAATCAGAATAGTCTGCGGGACTACTTCGCTGCATATTTTCATTGTATGGTTGTGGCTCTGTAAATAAATGCACTCAGAGCAATCTGTGGGATTGTCTCGACGCATAAAAGTTCGTTATTACTCAGAATTGTCTGTGGGACTTTTTCGCCAATAACGAACCGATTTTGGTCGGATTTCAGACCGACATGCAACAGAGCCCACGTCGCCTGCGACGCCACGAGAAACTGCCGCCGCCCAAGAACCGCCCTGCGCCGCCTCGCCGCCCGCCCAAGCTGCTCCTGTTGCACCAGCGACGCCACACATCGCCACTGCCGACGTCGTGCCGCCACCTGTGCTGGCTACGGAGCAAGCAGATCCGCAGTTAGATCCTGAGATTCTGGACATCTTGGGCGATGACCCGACCGCAGTGCAAAAGTTTGGTGCTAACATTAACAAAGACCTGGCCAACCGGTTTAATCATATAACCACTGCGGGTTTGGACAAGGAAGGTCGGAAATTACTGATCGAAAAATATCTTATCCCGGCGAATTGTTCAAAGATAGCCGCTCCTCGGCTCAACCCGGAGATAAAAGCGGCGGTCCCAGACAGCGTTGTGAGACGCGATAAAGCGATTGAAGCTCGACAGACGGAGATCGCTGCCGCTATTTCGTGTCTAAGTCAAGCGATATCGAATCAACTCGCCGAAAAACATACAAATCATGAATTGTTAAAACGACTCATGGATTCGGCGCGCCTCATGTGTGACATCCAGTACAGTGAATCTATATCAAGAAGAAACTTCACTTTGTACTCTCTGAAAAGAGATATTAAGGAACAATTGACGAACGCCAAAATTGATACGTTATTGTTCGGCGAAGATCTACCCGAGACTATAAAAACGGCGAAGGCCGTCACAAAATCCAGCTCCGACCTCAAAATGGACGTTCCTAAGAAAACGAACACTCAAAAATATCCTTCGAAGACTTTAAACTGGAAGACGGGGTCCGGCAACCGCAAGGCGGCGGCGGCGGGCCCCAGTCGCCGCCAGCCGCCGGCAGCAGCGAGCAGCCGGCCGCCCGCCAGCTCGTCGCGCAGCTCGTCGCAGCCGCAGCGGAGCCGGCCGCCGCGCCGCCACTAGCAGCGCCGCACGCCTCACAACAACCGGTACGCCTTGCTGGCAGACTTAGCCTTTTTTACGACCAATGGTCGCTCATCACCCGTGACCAAACGTTATTATCGTGGATAAAGGGTTACGTTATAAAATTTAATAGTCCTGTACACCAGTCTGCTTCTCCTGTCACAAAAATATACACGGAATCTGAAAGAGCCCATTATAATGATGCTATTAGTCAGTTATTGTCTATAGGCGCAATTTCTGAGTGTGAACCTGTCCCTGGACAGTTTGTGTCACGTGTATTTTTGATCCCAAAACCGACTGGCGATATGCGATTTATATTAAATCTAAAAGCCTTAAACAAGTTTATAGACACGCAACACTTTAAATTAGAGGATCTTCGTACTGCTCTTAAGCTTATAAGTAAAGATTGCTTCACTGCCACTATAGATTTGAAAGATGCGTATTTTTTGGTTAACATACACCCGGATTGTAGAAAATACCTGAGGTTTATTTTAATGTATAATGATGACCCAAATACCAGTAAAATGTTTGAATTCAACGTTCTTCCATTTGGACTGTGTACAGCTCCCTTTATTTTCACAAAAATAATGAAACCTGTCATTAAACTGTTACGCTCATGTGGCTTCTTATCATCTATTTATTTAGACGATCTATATTTAGTAGGTACATCCTACTATGAATGTCAAGAAAATATTGAAGTTACTCAGGCATTATTAAGAGCTCTCGGTTTTATTATTAATGAACAAAAAAGTAGCATGATTCCTTCTCAATGTTGCAAGTACCTCGGCTATATGATAGATACCCATGAGTGGCATGTACGGTTACCTTCAGTAAAACGAGACCGAATAAAAAAGGAACTTCAGTCTTTTCAACTTTTGAAACGTTGCACTATTAGGAAATTTGCGCAGCTGGTAGGACTTCTTGTATCGGCCTGTCCCGCTGTAGAGTACGGGTGGTTGTACGTAAAGGAATTAGAGAGGTGCAAGTACCTTAACCTGCTAGGTAACGATGACTATGACCGAATCATGACCATCCCAGATAATCTATTAGGGGACTTAGCTTGGTGGGTTAACGCCATTGATGATTCTGTACACAGAATCAGAAACGATGAATTTGTCCTGGAAATTTTTTCTGACGCTTCAACTACGGGATGGGGGGCTGTGTGTGAAGGGCAGACAGCTAACGGCCAGTGGTCTCCTGCCGAAATGACTTTGCATATAAATCATCTCGAACTCTTAGCAGCTTATTTTGCTATTAAAATTTTTGCAAAAGATTACCGTAACTGCTGTATACTTGTAAGAGTAGATAACACCACCGCAGTAAGCTACATAAACCGCATGGGCGGGGTTCAATTTCCTCACCTTAATAAGGTTACTAAGCAAATTTGGCAGTGGTGTGAGTCTCGTAGAATACTCGTCTCAGCATCTTATATTAAGTCATCTGAAAATATCATCGCGGACAAAGAATCGAGACGTTCTCATCCAGACGTGGAATGGGAATTGTCTGAGACCGGCTTTAGACACGTTACAAAGGTGTTTGGTTACCCACAAATCGACCTTTTTGCTAGCCGTATAAATAACAAATGTGCTAAGTATGCTTCATGGCACCGAGACCCTAACGCATTCGTGATAGATGCGTTTACGATAAACTGGTCGAATTTTTATTTCTACGCCTTTCCCCCTGTAGCAGTCATTTTAAAGGCGCTAAGAAAAATTATTTCAGAACAAGCAGAAGGCATCATGATTGTGCCAGCCTGGCCATCTCAGCCATGGTACCCTCTGTTTAGCCGCCTAGTCTCATCTACTGTGATTACATTCAGCCCAAGTGATGTCATGTTTCCCCATTCCAGCAACCGGAACCTCAACATTACCCTGGTGGGCGCAGTATTGTCCGGACGGCGTTATTGCGAAGAGACACACCCGCATCAGCCATCGACATAACGTTGGCCTCCTTGTCCGACAACACTATGAAACAATACGATGGTTGTTTCAAGAAATGGTTCACATACTGCACCAATAACAAAATTGACATGTTTCAACCGTCTATTCCTGTCATAATAGAGTTCCTTGCCGAGGTGTTTAATAGCGGTAGCCAGTACGGCACAGTAAACTGCTACAGATCCGCTATATCGTTGCTAGTAGGCCCGATAGCTCAGGATGAACGACTCACGCGATTCTTTAAGGGCGTGTTTAGGTTACGACCACCCCTACCTCGCTATAATATAACATGGGACACCAGCTTACTCCTAGACTATTTAGCAACGCTGTATCCCAATGAAACGTTGACTTTTGAGCAACTGTCAAAAAAGTGCAGTACCTTACTCGCTATTGTAACAGCTCATCGGGTACAGACCCTCTCTAAGATCAGTATCCTTAACATAAATGTTTCTGCTGATCAAATCGTAATAAAAATTCCCGAATTAATAAAAACTTCAAAATTAGGCCGTCCCCAACCAGTTTTATACTTACCATATTTCACCGATAGACCAGAAATATGTCCCGCTAACACCTTGAATTCTTATATGGAGAAATCTAAAGAATTTCGCAAGAGTGAGCAACTGTTTATTGGAGTTAGAAAACCCTATAATCGTGTAACATCCCAAACGATAAGTCGATGGATAAAATCAACGCTCAAAGATAGTGGAATTGACGTTTCAGTATTTTCTGCCCATAGCACCCGGCACGCCGCTACATCCAAGGCGTTCAAGCAGGGTGTCAGCTTAGACCTGATATTTAAAACCGCAGGCTGGAGCGGCAATTCCTCTACCTTTGCCCGTTTTTATAATAGACCCATCGCTAATAGCAATGATGACTTGTCTGTCCTAGCTAGAACTATATGTTCATCTGCAAATTAATGTCAAAGCTTGTGTAATTTCACAATTAATTTAGAATTTAATTTTGTTTAAATTATAATAAGAATACAAAAAGTGATTGATTATTTATTTCTTTTGTAATTGATTAATAAAACATTGATACACAATAGTTGAAATTTAATTGTTCAAACAATTGCTCTATGATATTTCCTGATCTCTCAACATCTACATTGTGTTATATAATCTATGTTATACTAATCTCGAGGACGAAGCACGAGTATAATTAATGATTAAACGAACTTACCTGTACGTGAAGTTCAATCATAATTATACGAAGTGCTTCGTCCGAAGAGATTAGTATGTATCACCCTCCCACCCATGATCTATTTCTTTGGTAGAAATAATCCCTAAAGACTACGGAAATATCATACACCTACTCATCTAGCTCTAAACTAAATGACGCCAGTGGAGTGAGCCCGCCATAGGAAATATCGGCGGTAGAGGAGAGAAAAACATTTTCAGGCTTACCCTCAAAATGTTTTATTTTTTATTTTTTTCTTTAAACAACAGTGCAAAAGTGGAGTGACTATGCGAAACTACATTGTGTTATATAATCTATGTTATACTAATCTCTTCGGACGAAGCACTTCGTATAATTATGATTGAACTTCACGTACAGGTAAGTTCGTTTAATCATTAATTTTTATCGATATCACCTGCCTACTGACATCACTATTCAATTCCGCAATGTCTCCAGCGGTAGCATTTTATACCACAGATTAATAAAGTCAGATTTATGTACATTAGTCAGCCGGCTGCTCTTTATTAGTTGGGTTTCTCGAAACTTTTGACGCACAGTTCGGTTTTATGGAAAGTAGAAGAGGAAAGAGGGAGGAAGAATTCCGTTTTAGTTACAAATATAGTAAGTAAAGTTAAAAAAAAAAGTAAATCATAACTTGTTGGTAACAACTGATGCCAAATTTCAGTGTGCTTATTGCACTAAAACTCATCGCTAGCGACAGTTTGTACAGCCTAGCGACAGTTTGTACACTCTAGCGACAGTTTGTACAGCCTAGCGACAGTTTGTACAGCGTCCTTAGAATACTGTCAAGAACTAAAATCTTAATAGATTTATTGACGCAATCGCTTGCGACGACGTTCAATGCAAACTCGCACTAAGCACACAAATAAACTTTACGTAAAGTGCAGGATCGGTCTTTGTGGAAAACCTTGGGGAAGGCCTTTGTCCACTGTAGTGGACGTCTTTCGGCTGAAACAAATGAACGAACGAACGAAAGTGCAATTCATCATAATATGAGACTAGCAATTAATTGAAATACTTTTATGGGCTGTCGTGTGATATTGATATTTCTTCTTCATAGTCTTCTTTCTTTGTGCAATAATTAAGTTTTGGTAGCCAAAAATTCGCCAACTTCCATGTATGTTTAGTACAAGGATCATCAGATTGACCGCTAACAAAGTCTTGATCATGTAAGCCAAGTTTGTCCCAGGGGAAGGCAACATTTTCGTTGGAACACACAACAAAATTAAAATATAACGTAAACTATTTCTATTACGAAATAAATAAAATATAAAGAAGCTTACTGCTGCCGCTGTAAAAGCCTTGTAATATTCCCAGTCAAATAACAAAACTAATTACTCAAAGTGGAAAAATGAACTCAAAACAATTGACAATGCTATGCTTTGTTTTATGCCTGAAATAAAAATGTTATTGCCTCATTTTCTGTGACATACGGGGGCCATATCAAAGCGGTCGTTAAAACCGTGGCTCCTGAACCATGGAATGGAGGCATTTCTTTTATTTCGACGATCTGCGTAAAGGTAAGCATAGACTGGAGCATTGTAAGAGAACAACGAACCGCTCTATGGTATGCTCTAGTGTCTCACCCTTTCACAAAGCAAACGTTCGTGGTCACGTTGAAACGTTGTTCACATCGGTTGTAGAGGCGGATACAACTCTCCGCACGATCTCCTGCCATCTCTCTCTGTTGGCGGACTGTCTGGTGCAGTCACATACGCCGTCTCCCACTGCCGATTTCACTTGGTCGGTCCAACGCATAGGTGACCTGCCACGGGATCGGATTCCTTCGACTTCGCCATTCTGTTACAACCTAATTGTAAAGTAGACCGACTACCTCATAAAGGTAGCAGGAAGGCGCTGGAGGCCGCTACCAACCGGGCGATGTAGAAATCATTGATAGAGACCTATGTTCAGTATTGGACACGGACAATATGTGGCTAAAACGATAATGATGATAAATTGTACAAACCAATGAGCGTACTGTTGTAAAATTTTGTCGAGCCTTTTCACGCCGATGCACATTTCAACAAAGAGTAAACGAAAGGTGTTGTACCTTAAGTATTACATTACATGAAAATGCTTTAGAAACTGACCTTTTACCAGTATTGTACCATTCGTAGAAACGATACATTACATAAAAATGCTTTAGTCTTAAATCACCTTTATTTCGACGATCTGCGTAACAAGCCTCTGGAATGTTCGTTAAATTATTACGAATGGTTAACTCTACGGCCGTTTTGTAGTGCCTTCAATTTGCGTTTGCAAAAAAATGCTTGGTAATGAGGGAAGGAAGGTAATCAAATTATTTGGAGATGAAAAAGGCGTGGAAAGGATTCGGTTTAGACAGCTGGAAATGATTTTATTAAAATTAGGTTGGAAAAAATATGTTAAAAATACAAATTTTAATTTTACTCATGAAATAATAATTTATTTTATTTTGTTACAGGTAAGCACCATTATTATACCAACTTCAGACTTCAGTTCTTCATAATTTAGGTAAGCTCACGGAAATGAAAAACTATTTAAATACAATTATTTTATTTCCCATTTATTAATTGTACTCTTAGAAAAATAATAATTACATACAGAAAATTTACTACATTGAAATTCTGACACCAGCTTCTACCTAACTGACTTCGTACTTATAATCTGGCACTACATGGAATCGAACCTTGTAAGGCTTGCGGTCGAAGCCGAGCTTCTTGAAGATGCTCCTTCTGCCGGCTCCGAAGTAGTTCTCCAACATGTTTCCTCCCATCCTGGCGTAGTGGACGCAATTGCGTCCTTCTCCGTTGTAGTATATGTAATCTGAACAGATTTAAAGTAAGTCACACCCGTATTCACAAATGCTTGCATAAATATAAATATTTTTTTAATTAACCGACTTCAAAAAAAGGAGGAGGTTCTCAATTCATCGAAATATTTTATTTTCTTTGTTTATTTATTTAAGTGAAGCAGCAACCCTAAACGCTGTGCAAAGTCAAACGCATAGTGTTGAATAAAGCTCTGTGATTTGTTTGTGTACGCAACTGCTTGAAGACGAAAGTCTACAACCAATGTGTGTTACCAGTGATGACTTATGGCTGGGAAACGTGGCTTCTCACTATAGGCCTTATACAGAAGCTCAAAGTTGCACAGCGTGCGATGGAGAGGGCTATGCTCGGTGTTTCTTTACGAGATTCAATCAGAAATGAGGAGATCCGTAAATGAACTAAAGTCGCTGACATAGTCCGACGGATTAGCAAGCTGAAGTGGCAATGGGTAGGGCACATAGTACGCAGAACTGACGGCCGATGGGGCAGCAAGGTCCCAAAGGTGGACAAAGGTCCAGTAGCAGTGGAAGTCATTCGGCTGAAACGAACAATAGTTCGTTGGTGAATAATACAGCTCACTTTTTCTTGTGACATCAAACTCTTATTTTCCAAAGACAGAAACCCTCAATTTAAATGGGTTCATTACTTACTGTTTCTCATGTTACTCCCTTTGATAGGAAAATTATTCTTAAGCCGATGAAAGCAGTTACGTAGTTCGATCTCGCACGGACCCGAGTACTCTTCGAAGTAGTATGTGTGGTAGTTCCAACCACACACATGGTTCATGAGGATTCTGAAAAAATAGGGGAAGTTTTCATCATCATCATCAGATCATTAGTATTTTCTGCAGGAGGACTTTCTCTAATTAACTGATGTCTGATGTTCCATTAGGCTGGGGTGCACCATCTTTTTAACTTTGATAAACGTTAAAAGTCTGTCAAGCTCCATACAGAATACACCGGTTATCGTTGTAGTTACTGTCAAATTCAGGCGGTGCAACTCAGCTTTAGTTTAACAAATTTTGATCTCATTGATCATTATTTCAGCCACATTTGTGAACATAGGCATGATTTCCAGATTGATAGGTTGGAAGCGCCTTCTTTCAACCTTAAAGGCCTATTCAGATCTAAGCGGTATTCGCTACCGTCTGCGGCAGAGAAAACCCAGTGGGTATGCGGTAATAATACTGTTCAGACCTAAGCGGTATTCGCTACCGTCTGCTCCAGGGAAAACACTCTAGCCGCGGTACTTGATTATAAATACCTGAGCAAAACCCGCGCGGTATGTACCTCTACCCACAGCGGCAGCGAATATCGGTCAGGTTTGAATAGGCCTTTATTAGTTCTGATTTTTGCTACGTTGGCCAATCATTATAATTATGACATTTACAGGAGGGCGATATTATCAAAACTGGGCTGTTGGTTTTTTATTTTTGCCACTAAGTATACGTTTCAAAATCGTGGGACTATAAAAAGTTCAAAATTGATTATCGGTTAAGCCTGGTTCACACATATCGCGATAACATTCAGCCTTGGTCTACTTAATACCAGAGTAAATACAAATGAGTAGGTCATCTTCATAGAAACGCCCGAGCGCACGCACACACTGACAAAATTTAGCGTTGATTAGCGGTGAGTTGCCCCGAATTTTGTCAGTGTGTGCGTGCGCGCCGCATACGTATTGGCTAGCGCGCTCACATACAAACCGCGCTCGGTGCGTTTCTATGAAGATGACTTACTCATTTGTATTTATTCTGCTAATACTATGCTATGTATGTGGCCTAGGGCAAAATGCCATTTGTGTATTTTCTTACGTGTTCTCAATGCACCGAAAGTGCAACGCGTTGCAGTCGTTGTTCTTCTCCTTGATATACCCCTCGGGAAGCATGTCGTAGTCCACTCCTTCGAAAACGAACATTTCCCTGGTCGTGTAATCCGGCGCGCCGGTGCTGGTCATGTGCTTATGTGCCTTCGGCTTCTTCGGCACTATAAAGTTCTCTGGATTATAGTTGCCTGAAATCAGAAATATTTATTTGCCTTTAATATAAAAATGCAACATATCTAAATCTATTTGGTCGGCCGTTTGGTGTAGTGGTTCGGTAACGGACTACTATGCCGAGAGGTCCCGGGTTCGATTCCCGGCCGGGCAGAAATTGAAATTATGAATTTTAATTTCTGTGACGGGTCTGGGTGTTACTATTTATAATATGTATGTATTTACAAAAAAAAAAGTATTTAAGTATGTTTATATCCGTTGTCTAGTACCCATAGTACAAGCTTTGCTTAGTTTGGGACTAGAAGCGTAGTGTAAAATGTCCAAGTATATTTATATATTTAAAACTAGCTTTCCGCTCGCGGCTTCGCTCGCGTGGAAGTTTGTCTGTCACAGAAAAACAATATCGCGCGCGTATTTGCTCACCGTTTAGACCTACCCTGGACTACGACAAACATTTTAAAACCAAAATCAGCTCAATCGGCCCAGCCGTTCTCGAGTTTTAATCAGACTAACGAACATCAATTTATTTTTATTTATATAGAAGATAGTATGGGAATAACATGGGAAAAAAAAGGTGAAAAAATTAAACATTATCCGATTTCAAAAATTGCATGAGATTTTATAGTTTTATGGGGTTAGAACTGACATGGCTTGCAACAATACTATAATAGAATATTGTTAAAAATAGTTTTTTTTTTTTGGAGCGGAGGCCACGTATGTACCGAAAAGCGCAGCGTAGGACGTCCACCCACAAGGTGGACAGACGACCTCAGAAAGATAGCAAGAAGGCGCTGAATGTGGGCCGCTACCAAGTCATTACGGAAATCATTGGGAGAGGCCTATGTTCAGCAGTGGACGTCCTACGGCTGAATAATTATAATAATAAATACACTTTATTGCACACCAAAGATAAGAACAGAAAGAAAAGGAACACACAAGGTACAACTAGGCGGTCTTATCGCTATGAAGCGATCTCTTCCAGACAACCTATAGTGAGGACAGTTACTTAAAACAAATATGAAGGGGAAGGCGGTGTCGACACTAAAGAAATTAATGATGATGATGAAAAAAAAATAGTCATACCATAACATAATATAGCAACAGGCAAAAAGAGGAAAAACACAATCTTCATCGCGATGCAGTCTTTACGAAAATGGCGAACTCAATATGCAGTCTATTAAGTTGACTACTTACTTTCCGTTTACTGAGAGAGTTAATTAACAGCGTCCAACTTTTAATTACATTCATTAATGTAAGTGCTGACAGGTAAATGGTAATTTTCTTTTTAACCGAATTTTAGGCTGAGTCCACACTACATGGCGATACCTCTTATAAGTGACTAGCTTTCCGCCCGCGGCTTCGCCCGCGTGGAATTTTGTCTGTCACAGAAAAACTTAATCGCGCCCGTCCCTGTTTCAAAAACCGGGACTCAAACTATCTCTATGCCAAATTTCATCAAATCGGTTCAGTGGTTTAGGCGTGAAAGAGAGACAGACAGACAGAGTTACTTTCGCATTTATAATATTGTATAGATATTTTGGTTGAATATACTAACTGTAAAAAAAATTACAAACTTATTCTTAGCTTGTGATAATGTTCCAAATTGGCATAAAGATTCTTCTTCTTCTTCTTCTCCTCTATGGCTATTGTGTTTTTACGTTTGCCAATGTTACGTGAGCATAGTCATTACACGGTATAAGATTCGCTGACCTTAGATTTTAACATTCAGAGATGTCATAATTAATTTCGAACTCCTCCTACGTTCTTCTGATTAATTTTGTTGCGGGTCCAATGACAGTTTAACTTTCCCCCGGGACAAACTTGACCTTCACTGGTTGGGTTTTTGTGGCGGTCAAGCTGTAGATCCTGGCTACACAGGAGTTGCAGTGGTGGGAACAAGGTGGGAATAGTCCCGAGATGTCATAATTTTACATTTAAATGTCTAAAAAAAATTACGTTTGTTCAGGAGCACAAGCTTATTTTGGGCTCCATCGATCCATAATTATTTTGTAAGTACTTGTAGATTTATTTTAACGGTAGACGGTAATGGTACTTTGTTTTGCTATAAATCTTTGTATATTTGTATATGTACCTAGACACTTTTTATTACAAATTTAAATCTATTATTTATAACTAGATACGATTTTATAGAAGGTATTGTCCTCCGTACATGACAATTATGTAAATTTTTCCGCACGTTGCTTTAGTGAGCTTTAGCCCTAATTCAGGGAATATTAATTGGAGTAAACTTGGAAGCTTAATCTGAAGTCTGAATAAATTAATTGTTAGTTGTCTGCGTTTGAAAACTTTTACCAATAAAATCGGTCTTGGTGGAATAAAATTTACGTACAAAAGGAGTATTAATGGGATTTGTACAAAACGAAGAATGAAATTTTATTTAACTTTTACTATTAACACTTTTACTTTGATTTTGATTTTTGCTAGAATATTTTGGTCACGTCCCCGCGATTCCAATGATTGATTTTCAAATTATATTAGCCTTTGATGGGAGTACAAGACTAATTTGAAAATTATAAATAACTTGAAAAATTCCCGCCTTAGGCAGTTCGATTTTTTCAAGTTATTTATAATTTTCAAATTAGTTTGAGATGTGACTCTTAACGCTAAAAAATAAATAACTAAGTACAAGACTAGTATAGAGCAAACCATTACTAACTGTCGGCCGTTTGGTGTAGTGGTTCTAAAACGGACTTCTATGCCGAGAGGTTCCGGGTTCGATTCTGCGTGTTACCTACTATGTATAATATGTATTGTATCTATTTAAAAAGTATAATATTGTGTAGTATATCTGTTTAGCTAGCACCCATAACCCAAGCATAATTAATAAATTGTCCAAATATTGTATTTGTAAAGATATTAATTTTCAATAGAATATCTAATTTTAATGTTTAGCCCTGTCTAAGAAAATATTTTAACAGTCATAAAAAAACGTTTTCAACAGCTACTGATTCTATTCAAATAAACATGTACCTACACTTTCATGTAATTAACAATCTTATTCTCATTTCCATCAACACAACTTACATCTTCAAAGTAAAACTATCTCCGTGTTTTAATTCATTGTAAACTTTTTTAAATATCAACATGCTCATCAGCATCACTAATGACAGGGCAACGAAACAAATGACAGCTGAGTACGAAAAAAATAACACAAAATGGCGCCGAGCCAAAATGGAAGCCAGCGCTTATACAGACTTTGAAATCTTTGGCATCCTTTTAAACTAAGACTGTACTCATGGTACATAGTACATTCCCTGAATATGAGAAAAATACAATGAGATAAAGGACAATGCCCATTACCTGTACCAAATTGCATCACAGGCTAATTATCATCAAAAATAATATTTAAATTATATGTGTACTTCATTAATTTTTAACCGTTTTTCTTATCCGGATTTAGAAAATTAGAATTAATTATACGAAACATGATTAACAATTACTTCCGTACAAAAAATCATTTCCGAAAACTTTTTTGTTCCGATTTCAGCTGTCACCTATTTTCGTGAGTAAGCAATAAGAATAAAAATCTTGTTTGCCAAGTAAGTTTTAGCAAGCAAACATGATTTTATTATCAATATTATTATTAATAATCATGATTTTCATAATAATAAAACTACCTACTTCAAACGATTTAAAAAAAACTGTTTTATTTTATCTCACCATTAATTACATTAGAGCGTTTCGGAACACCGAAATAAAAAACTATCAAGTGTCATTGTCAATTTGAGGTTAGGGCGATTTGTTGAGTTTCGTCCACAGGTTTCGTCTTTCGTTGATGTCTGTATCGATCGATCTATGTTTTAGTGGTAGTATTCAATAAATTCATTCCTCGAACGATATTATTGACTATTGACAGTCTTGAGATAGTGACTCTTGTGTTGTGGTGCATCGGGATAGTGGTTTTACCGTGCGAGATAGTAACTCTGTTGGTAGATGCCGGCCGGCGTTTATGCTACCTGCCTGCCTCAATAAAAATGAATCGAACAGGCAGTTTGAGTCCAGAGAGTAATCACCGACGATGTATCAACTGTCCATTGGCAGTACCAAGGAACACATTGATACACACAGTGGAAAGTGTGCACAACAATATATTAGAAGTTTTGAACTCATGGGTGATACCTACCTACTTTGGTTAGTTTTTTTATTACTCATTCATAAACTTATTCATGATCTTGATGTAGGTATGTATATTTTGTAGTTTTTATTAATGATACCACTTATAGGTATATAAATTCTGTCTTACAATATTTTTGATGGCCTTAATTGTTGCCAATTCCGCCATTCCGCAAAAAATTCCATTGCTGTAGATGATGTCCTGGTTTCAATTTCCATTTTTGTTGTACAATTTAATACAGATTAACAAATATTGCTTGTTTCAGGTAACCGGAACATATAATATGCCACAATTGCTACAAACTTACTGTTGCAAGAAGCAACAATTGGCAGCCCTGAAGTTGGCCATCAGAGCGTTTGTTTTGGCTGTGGTGGTGTGCATTATTATGCACTAAAAGAAAAACATAATTATTAAATAAGACCTGAATCTCCACAGTGAAATGTCTTTGCATAGACAGCGCTCATCTTGTAAGTACAATATTTATGAGAAATTAAAATAACATGTATTGGAGACTTAATCCATAATTATTTTTTCTATTGAGTAAGTTAAGTATCTAGAAATTCATGCAATTTAAAAATTATTTTAGGTATCCAGACTTGAGAGGTGTGCTGGAGAACAGCTACTAGAACAGTCGACAGACAGCAGCAGCATGATCCTCAAAGGCCAATAAGAGAAGAAGAACTTCAAAGAACAGACAAGTCACCGTCAAGAATTACCTCTTCTATATCCGAGTAGCGAGCACAGCCAATCACTATTTGCACATAAACTGTACTGGCTCTCTATATACAAGTTAAAAAGATTACAATCATCACATAACATACTTTAAAAAATAAATGTTATCTGATCAATGATTATACATAGTTATTTTATTTGTGTTACCTTGATAAATGTTTAAATGATCTACTAATAGTAATTGAACTACACTGCCCATAACTGGCTTCTTAAAACTTAATATTTTTGTGATAATGAGGCAATGCATTAGATAATTATACTACGTTTAAAATGTTGCAAAAATGGGAAATGTTATCTGAACTGTTTTCACGCGTACGAAATCCGCGGGCACAATTAGTTTAATATAAAGTAACACGCAGTAAGTTTAGGTATTCATAATTTAATATTTATTTATCATTGTCTTTTAACAGTTAAGTTCGTGTTCTGGATAGGCATGGATAAAGCGTTAAATAACATTAGTACAAAGAGGGCGTAATATCAATAGATATAGGTCGAAAACGGCACGTGCGGGGGAGCAGACGAAGGAGGACGGATCTCATCTTATTGCGCAAGTGTACTAAGTATATCTATAACATGCAAAGCATTTTACTTACAGCAATGCGACCCAAAACGCATAAATATCTGTAATAAATAGATTAATAGCAATGACACGACGATTAAACATTGCTAAAAAAAAATATTCAGGCGTTTTTTAACTTTTTCAAATATTTTGAAAATCCGGCTAAACATTGAAAAAAACATGTTGGTAGCGAAAAGGTAAATAAAAACTAGACTTTTGAGAGTAAATTCAGGTTGATGCAACATGGTACAGACTCCCATAGTAAAATGGGCATTGTCCTTTCAAAAATTAAAATTTGGTACAGACAACCGCATTTCAAACTTAACACTGTAGCATTTTATTTCCATGTAGTAGATGTTATTCTGCAACAAAAATGTATAATCTGAAGTGCTGTTAACTGTACAATCGTTCTAAACTCTTTATAAGAGCACACTAATACAAATAAATAGTAAAATTAAGACAAAAAATTCATTGGATTTGTCTCATATTCATGGAATGTACTATCATGAGTGGAGTGTTAGTTTTTAAAAGGATGCCAACAATTTCAAGTCACCCTGTATATGCCGGCAATCAAACTGTCTGTTTTTTGTACAGTGTAGGAATGTGTGGATATTAACGAATTTATTGTTTTAATCAGGAATTCCCTAAGTGGGCTCAAGGTTACTGATAGAACAATGAAGCGTACTACGCTCGTAGTCTGATGAAT